AAGGATTTCGCTGACTTCATTGCGAAATTCAGCATTGCTTTTAGCCCGTGTGTCCATGTAACCTGGCTCTGATACCAAATGATGAGAAATTTGTATAAGAACAGCCAGTGAATGGCCAAGAAGAAGAAGAACAGGGACTAAGAAGAAGAAAAGGGGTTTGGGATATTAATTCTCTATTCTTTATTCCATAATTCCCAGGCTATTTATAAGCCAAAAGAGAACACTAACTACAGGAAATTAACAACTTGAAATAATAATGCAGAGGGTTGTGGCACAGAACATGGAAGAGGTTACAACCCATTTATTGAAAACAAACTACAACTAAATCCTATTCTTCAGGCATTGAGGCAGAGAGGTTGCTATTCTCATGCATGAAGGCATTGAGGCAGAGAGGTTGCTATTTCCTGTTCTTGAGGCATTGAGGCAGAGAGGTTGCTATTTCCTGTTCTTGAGGCATTGAGGCAGAGAGGTTGCTATTTCCTGTTCTTGAGGCATTGAGGCAGAGAGGTTGCTATTTCCTGTTCTTGAGGCATTGAGGCAGAGAGGTTGCTATTTCCTGTTCTTGAGGCATTGAGGCAGAGAGGTTGCTATTTCCTGTTCTTGAGGCATTGAGGCAGAGAGGTTGCTATTTCCTGTTCTTGAGGCATTGAGGCAGAGAGGTTGCTATTTCCTGTTCTTGAGGCATTGAGGCAGAGAGGTTGCTATTTCCTGTTCTTGAGGCATTGAGGCAGAGAGGTTGCTATTTCCTGTTCTTGAGGCATTGAGGCAGAGAGGTTGCTATTTCCTGTTCTTGAGGCATTGAGGCAGAGAGGTTGCTATTTCCTGTTCTTGAGGCATTGAGGCAGAGAGGTTGCTATTTCCTGTTCTTGAGGCATTGAGGCAGAGAGGTTGCTATTTCCTGTTCTTGAGGCATTGAGGCAGAGAGGTTGCTATTTCCTGTTCTTGAGGCATTGAGGCAGAGAGGTTGCTATTTCCTGTTCTTGAGGCATTGAGGCAGAGAGGTTGCTATTTCCTGTTCTTGAGGCATTGAGGCAGAGAGGTTGCTATTTCCTGTTCTTGAGGCATTGAGGCAGAGAGGTTGCTATTTCCTGTTCTTGAGGCATTGAGGCAGAGAGGTTGCTATTTCCTGTTCTTGAGGCATTGAGGCAGAGAGGTTGCTATTTCCTGTTCTTGAGGCATTGAGGCAGAGAGGTTGCTATTTCCTGTTCTTGAGGCATTGAGGCAGAGAGGTTGCTATTCTCATGCATGACTTATTCCTATGGCAATAATGAACATATCACTCCTCCCCCCTTACACTATCCTTGTCCGCAAGGATAAAATCAGGGTAAGTCTTTGAAAAACGCCAACGATTCTCCCAAGTAGCATCTTCAATGGGCGCACCCACCCATTTAACCAAAATCTCGGTCTTTGGTCGGTAAAGCCCCTTTTGGATGACACGGGTGTCCAGCACTGCTTCAGGTTGAGGAAGAATCTCGGATGCATCGGATACGGGTGGCAGGCGGGTGGAAGCTGTGGTGACTGGTCCAATGTGCTGCTTTAAGAGACTCACATGAAAAACGTCATGGATTTGGGAACCAACTGGTAATTCGAGCTTGTAAGCCACAGGTCCGACTCGGGCAAGGATCTTATAAGGCCCAAAGAATCGAGGTGAGAGCTTCATAGAGCCGCGGAATGCAACTGTCTTTTGCCTGTACGGCTGAAGTTTGAGGTACACGTAAGCACCGACCTCGAAGACAACTTCCCGACGATGTTGATCAGCTTGGGACTTCATACGGTCACGGGCGACAACCAGATTTCGACGTAAGAGACTGAGAATGTCATCACGGCTGCGTAAAAGGTCATCCACGGCTTGAACTTTTGTGGTGCCAGGAATGTAGGAAAGTAGAGTTGGCGGAGGCTGACCATACACAGCTTCAAAAGGGGTTATTTTGGTGGATGAATGGATAGAAGTATTGTAACTATATTCAGCCCAGGCAACCCATTCCGTCCATTTTTTTGGCTGGTCATGCGTGAAGCACCTGAGGTATTGCTCGAGTGTGCGATTAACAACTTCCGTCTGGCCATCGGTTTGGGGATGATAACTAGAGCTCATACCCAAAGCTGTACCCTGCAGGTGAAATAAAGTTTTCCAAAATGAGCTGATAAAAACTTTATCACGATCACTTACAATGGATGCGGGTATGCCGTGAAGTCGGACAATTTGGTCAAGAAAGATTTTGGCCACGGTGAGAGCGGTAAATGGGTGCTTGAGTGGAATAAAGTGCGCATATTTGGTCAAGCGATCAACCACCACCATGATGACAGTTTTGCCGTGTGACAGTGGCAAACCTTCCACAAAATCCATGGAAATATCAGTCCAAACTTTGTCGGGAATGGGCAGCGGTTGTAGCAAACCGGCGGGACGTGAACAATCAGATTTGCATCGTTGACAAATGTCACAATTTTTTATGAAGTTCTTAACCGTGGTGCGCATGTGAGGCCAACTGAAACTGGCGTGGATGCGGCTTAATGTTTTATGATAGCCAAAGTGTCCGCCCACCGGTGAGGAGTGATGTGTGGATAATATGGTAGGAACTAGTGGTGAGGAGGGACTCAAATAGATACATCCATTTTTGAAGAGCACCCCATCACGTAAGGAATACTGTGGTTGAAGATGTGATGGTAATGAGCCCAACAAATGACTATAGAAAGGATCGGTGGCGACCTCTTTCTGGAGTGTGGTCCACCACTCCGCAATAGGCAAGGATATGGCATGGAATTCAAGCTCGCCAACCCGTGAGAGTGCATCAGCCCCGCAATTCTCTTTTCCTTTCTTGTACTCAATGATGTAATCATACCCGAGAATTTTTGGTAACCACCGGGTTTGGGCCGGCGTCGTGATTCGCTGCTCTAACAAATATTTTAAACTTTTTTGATCAGTGCGAACAATGAAAGGTTTTCCGAGGAGATATGGCCGCCATTTGCGGATGGCTTTGATTATTGCTAGCATTTCCTTCTCATATGTTGATAAAGCTAAGGCCATGGGCTTAAGAGCTTCGCTGAAATATGCCACTGGCTGGCCCTGTTGTGATAAAATGGCTCCAATGCCCACCCCACAAGCATCACATTCAATCACAAAGGTTTGAGAAAAATCTGGTAATCGGAGGACTAGAGGAGTTGTGAGTGCTTTCTTCAGTTGGGAAAAGGCAGCAGCGGCTTCAGAAGTCCATCGGAACCCATCTTTGGATAATAATCAAGTGAGAGGTGCCGCAATTCCCCCAAACCTGCTGATAAATTTTTGATAGTATCCGGCTAGGCCAAGGAAGCCGCGAACCCCTCTTGCCGAAGTGGAGGTAAAACACTCAAGAATTGTTTCCAACAAGACTCCCAGAAACTCAAGGATCCAATCAACATCCTAGAAATTAAATCCCATACCCACATAGTCACATAAGCATGTTATCAATTAAGCACATAGCATATGATACTACATCTAAGTCTCTATCAAGCGAGACAAACCCATTGTGATACTAATCACTTCCCACGTACCCAAAGTATTCGAACCCGGTACGCTCTGATACCAAGTTGTAACGCCCTCAAAAAAATAACATTAAACCCATCAAATAAGACATTTATTGACATATGAAATAACCACATTCTTTTATAGATCAGAGTTTCATTACAAAAGTATTACATGTTAACAACAAAAGCAAATGCCCTATGGGCTTACGGCTTTCCAAGTTAACACTTGGTTACAACAAAAGAGTACTAACTCATTACACATTAAGCCCTTGGCTTGAAATTACATGTAATACACCAAAAAAAAAACA